CTTTCCCTGCAATTGGGTCCAGCTTCCTGTATTTCACGCATGACAAACCCCTTTTCAGAACATTGTTGCACCTTACTTGTTCTTCTCAGTCTGTTTTCTTTTTCTCATGTTGGCGAGGTCCAAGACTGGCCGTGTAGCCCTGCAGGTGATCTCCCTGCTGAGACATGCTCCTGCTCCTACTCCCTCACTTGCTCTCTCAGCTCTTTAATTTATTTCTGTAGATGTGTTTGCAGGAAAAGGTGAAGCCTTGAGAGATCACTTTGGGTGGGAGCTGCATGTTGGTGCCTGCTATTCTGAGAAATCTCCTCCTGAGGTGTTAATAGGAAGCCTGCCTCTGCCTTTATGATCTCAGAACAGGTCATGTTGAGATGTTACATTTTGTATTTTAAGATTTCAACAATAATGAGACAGAAGTTATTACCCAAACAGGCTAAGTACATTTACTAAGTTCAATACATGACTACAATTTGAAGTACTTGTACATTAAATCGACGTGCAAAATTGGATTTTAGCCACACTACTCAACAAATAACATTTAAAAATATGTATTTAAAATTGTATTTATAACCAACACAGTGTGGCTCAAATACTATAGTGTCCCTGGGTGAGACACTTAACCCCAAATTGATCCTGCTGCTTTGTCCGTGGTGTATGAATGGGATTAGTTAATACTGATGGAAACTTTACATAACAACCTCTGCCATCAGTGTGTGATTGTGTAGGAGTGACCTGTGGTGTAAAAGGGCTTTGAGTAGTCAGAAGACTGGAAAAGTGCTCTACAAGCTCAAGTCCATTTACCATTACATATAGTAATCACATTCAGAGAAAACACCAATTAAAACAAATCGAACTGGGAACCGAGTGTGCCCTAAGAAAAAAGCATTTCTTAAAGTATGATGAATGAAAAGTATATTTTGGTAGACATCTCTGTAGGGAAACACTGATAATTCAAATATGTTCCATCTACTCCACATTGGTAATGCATTACTTTTACAGATTTACATTTACAATAAAAAACAGTCGATTGATTATAATACTCGGGTCAGTCCACCAACTTGTACTGTTACAACTTGGCACACATTGCAAACTTGTTATGAAGTTTTTATGAAGTCAGCTCAGTTGAAGTTAATTGCTAGAGCTAAATAGAAAAGAAAACTGAGGGAAAGGACTTTGTTGACTTGTTGCAGGTCAGATAAATATGTAGTCATTTGTTATAGACTAGTCAAGGAATCACATACGAGAAGAAAAAAAACGTTATGATCACACAAAGAATAACGCAGACGTTTGTTTTCTGCACTACAACACCGGAGGGCCACTTGAAATGATGTATCAGCGAGCATCGTGGTTATAGTGTTATAAGATCAAATTCAACTTGACCTTAAAGTGCACTATTGTCTTTTAAGTCTGACAAACAGTCTCAGAGCGCCAATTGGAAACAGTTTTCTCTTTAAAGTACAAAGGCAGCGTCATTTGGTTAGGATGACACACTCGGCCACATGAAGCAGAGCAGCACCAAGAGTTGAAAGAGAGAACTAACCGTAAAAGGTTTGAAGAGGACCTCTGGCTACGCAAAACCTTCTTCATTATTCAATTCCTTTTTGTCCGTTTGCCAGCTGTAAAGTGTTTGAAGTGGCCGAGCCTTGAGAGGAACCATTTACAGTGACAATGGTTTTGAAGTACTGTTGGGCCACTCTGGCCTGTGGAGGCACACACAGCCTCACTGTATATGATAACAGAGCAAATATATGAACTCCAAGCAACTCTGGAAAGACATTACTCACTCTGTGCCATGAGAGAGTTGTGAAAGCATTGCTCAAAGGCAATACTCAAAGCCAACACTCCCAACAGCTCGAGACAGGTAGTTTCTATGGCACTGAAGACAGAATCAACAACACAGTATTTAGATGACAGCTGTTGGCTAACGATGTGTTGTTTTTTCTCCCTGGAACATGCTGTCATGAGTTCCTATAAGTGTCTATAGAAACAAGTCCTTCACACAACTGTAGAAATAAATTAGAACATAAATAAAGGCATCTTTATACCTTTATAGCATGCCTATGGTTGCCACTCGGTTAACTGTCCTGCTGCATTTAGAAAATATACTGTTACCTCTCTCTTCACTGTTACCTGTTGTCTCTATCAGTGTGTTTGCATGGACTATTGTATGCTGGTTAAGAGCCTTACCCCGGTTTTGATATTATTTGGGATATCTTTTACATGCACGCAGACTAACCTGGTTATTCATATCCCTGTATACATGATAATTACTTGTATCCCCGTTTCCAATTTCTGCTTCTTATTTTGGCAGTAAGATTCTATGTGTCTCCCTGTAGGCTCAGCATCCCGTTGCACTTGAGAAGCCGACCACCATCCGCTGCGGTGTCCAGCGGACAGTGGCCAAGTATCACGTCCAAGATTTTGTAAAATTTGAAAGTTGCCGGATCAGAGACACTTCTTTTGTTCGTATTTTTGACCATAGTCATGTTTCTTCAGTCCAGAAGTAAGATGCCCTTGGTGCCCCCGCCATGTTTGTTTTGTTTACAAGTCACTTGGCTGAGGCCGTGCCTGTGCAGGTAGTTGGCAACTGTCAGAAACTGGGGTAAGAAGTATAAATGCCACAGTGTACCGTTTTCTTTAATGTCCTGCAGGTAGCAAAATCAGTTATCTCATAAGGACTTATCCCTGTTTCTGATCGGGATATGATGTTTACATGCACAAACACAATGAATGACTCTTCAAGGGATCCAAATGCTAAATAGTTGGTGCTAAAGCACCCAGCTTAGAGGCTCATTTGCCTTTAAAAAATCACATTTTCATATTTTCCTTTATTATTATTTTTTGTTCAAGGTATTTTTATTGGTATTTTAACATAAAAAAAAAAAAAGCCCAATGGTTTTCTCCATTCTGTCATGAGTGGTGCGGCAAGCGAGGAGTCTTTGGATCAACCGTTGCCCAGCACACCACATGTTTGCCTGTTGGAGACAAATCCATTCTCCCAGCTGGACTCACAAAGGGAGAATTTGGGTTAGCACACTTTAGCACACAAGAAGAACTGGAAAAAACAAGCACACCAAGCTACAAGCACTGTATTGAATATATGACTGTTACATCTTCATATGAACTGATGTTTGCCAAACTGAAAGACTCTTTGTACAAATATAATGACATGTTTGGAGGCTTCCTTAGATCTGTGGTCGAGACCAGTGGATAGAAATGTACTTTTGAAAGTCTTACATATCAAATGGTGTGCTGAGGGGAGGGACAGGTGATGTGTCCTGTTTCTGCCTTTTTGTTTTTTGTATTGTGTAGTTTGTTACTGGGAGACCAGCCAAAAAAATGCTTTGTATGTAACTGTACCAAAATTATAATGGAAAACAACAACACAAATGCGTAAATCACAAATTACAACTATGACCAATGGTCAGAATTCACATCATTTTAAAGAAGTGCTAATGTTAAAGTTAATTTAAAAATGTAGTGTTGGCTGGTCACCCTAAGTACTCCAACATAATGTTTGCTTGGCTCACTTCTCTCTCTTTTCTGACTCTTTCTTGAGGGCATGTTTGTTTTCTGCAAAATCTACAAACCAGGACTTTTCCCAATCTCTATTATGATCCAGTGTCCCCATGCACAACCCTAAATGAAAAACAAGTAAAACAAGGTTAAAGATGAGGACATCAACAAATCAAACTTTCTCAAATAATTGGTAAAAATGTACACCTGGCAAAGTATGCACAGAAATGCACACACACACACACACACACACACACACACACACACACACACACACACACACACACACACACACACACACACACACACACACACACACACACACACACCTTTCCCTCTCAGGTGTGATTTACAACCTCAGTGTAAGGCTGCTGTTTTTACAGCGCTAATTACAGACACACACACTCTCTCACTTAGAAACACACACACACACACACACACACACACACACACACATACAAGCAGCCTCAGGCAGGCTGGTAAGCTACCAATGAAAAGTCCTTACTCAGCATAAAAACGCCTTATCAAGAAGAACTTCACAAGTCTGGACTCAGCAGCAATGACTAGCTAGTCGAGCTCAGGTCTTTAACTCAGTCACTGTTTTTGTCTCAAACTGCTCCATATAGTTGTGTTTCAGTAATTAGTTGCACAAAAGATTGTTTGCTTTTATTACTGACTTTCTGTATTAATTTGTTCTCATACTTTGTCGGTATCTGTTCTGAATTAACTGGTTAGCCTGTTTGTGTTTTGTCTCTCCTGTCTTGCACAAATGATGACCATACTTTTGGTGTAACAAGCAGCAGGAAGCACACTTGGAGTGACCTCGCTGCTCAGAGGAGACCTGTGTGTAAACTGTGTGCTGAGCCCAGCATGACGGCTGGATGCAGCACTTACAGCTATTTCACAGAGAAAGATCTTAGCGGCTCTCTTCACACTGTCGCCGTGGTAATTACAGCCATTGCAACGGCTGACTGTCCAGCATAGAATTAGTGACATGAAGGTAGGAGGGACAAAGGATGCCCTGAGGACCTAGCATGACTTGATCTTCTAATTCCAGGATTACGATGACTTGTACAAGAGCCTGTTATTAGACAAAATGTTGGCTTTTAATAGCAGCTTTGTGATTAAAGAATAGATAAATGTAGATGAACGTGTGTGTGATTATATTAGAAAGCAGCGGAGATGTTAGACAGTCTTGTGTGTGCGTGTAACATCTGTCCATTAACCACATACCTAAAAGACACGACACAGATTACTTTCAAGCTCAAAGAACTGACTCAAGCACTTCAGAGAACCTCCACAGTATTGAATGTTACACTTGTGATTAAAACCAGAGAGTAAACCAAAAGGTTGAATGATCTTTGAGTAGGTTTCTTTGATCACTAAGTCTGTTTTCAAGTAGATGAAGACGCCACATTTAAAGCACAGATGCTGCAGATCAACAGTATTTCTAAGCAGGTTTGTGTGTTTGTGTTTTTTGGTTGTAGAGGTGCACGGGACCGAGAATCCGCTCACCAAAAGACCTGCCATAGATGCTTGGTTTTGGCATGAGTCGGCCAGGAAACAACACCAGAACGAGCGCAACGCTAAGATGAAGATAAATCAACCCGAGGTTTTACGGATCCCGAAAGCGCCTCAGGTCAGAACTCAAGAAATCCAACTATTATTGAGTAACGATTTAAGGCTTACTGCCATCCAATTACTTATTCTAACTACTAGCTATGACACTACACAAAGTTGTAAAACAGATGTTCTTTACGTTGTATTTATTGTCACTTACTTGTGGCCTGTTGTTGAGCGTTTCAAGAGTAAAAACAGAGATGTAAGCCAGTGAATTTAGTTGAATATTTCTTAAATAAGAAATGACTTATTCTGAGAAATAAGTACCTGACCTGGTTTTCTTTGTATGGACCCAATACTGTCCCTTCTGAAATCATGTGTGTAACTGAGTCTACATTGGCAATGTTTCACCTGCATAAAATAAGCCACAGTCTCCCGCCGTGAGGTGCTTGCGTAAACACCCAGATCAGGATGATTTTTAGGAGCAGTCTTCCTCTTATTATGAAAAAAATTTGAAGAGTGTGAAAAATGCTCTTACCCTCATTTAACCCTTAATTAACACTAATCCTGTTACCTACAGGTGATGCGCACCCCATGTATGAAGGCTGTGGTTCTCCAAGCGGTCACCCGGGTTAGAATCCAACCTGTTGCTCCTTTCCTGCGTGTCATTCCCCACTCTCTCTTCCCCCAGTTTCAATCAATCATTATCAATCAATCGTTTGTATTCATCCAATTCATAACAAGTGTTATGAGTTTCTAACTCTATCCACTGTCCTATCTCTAAATAAAGACATAAAAAGCCCAAAACTAGTTAGGGAGTTTTAAGCTGTGAAATATACTAAAATAATGATGTCTTTCTACTTTTAGGACATTCAAGCACTTTCTCTTAGATTGTTTGGTGCATATTAAATTATGAATGTCGTACAAACAGCTTGAGCTGCATTCACACTGAGTTATCTTAGCTACAATAATTGTGCATAATGAGCGTCTTGATGATGTGAAGATTGTTTTGCAATTCACAGTGGAATGCGTGTTGGCAGTTTCAATGCAGTCTATAGATTGAAACCCTCCCGCTTCCCATTCATTAACACTCATTTCACAGATTCAAACACAAGATGTACAAAATAAAAACAGTTCCTAGTAAAGACTCAATGGGGTGACGTACAAACACAGATATTCCTTCTGTTTCATGCAAATGAGCTTGGGTCTTGGGTTGGGGGGGCTTCACATGCAGAGGCCCATATACGACTCAACCTGGCAAACAATCCTATGTGCATTTGCTAATTTTCTCCCTCACTTAACTCGCTCGCTTGCAGCAAAACAAAACAAAAATAAAACAAAACCAAAACATAAGCGGGAAAGGACAAAACAATAGTCAGGATCATTATAAGTAACAAAAGAAGGAATTCACTAAAAGGGAGTCATGCAGCTGCAGGGGGAGAACGTCAGACAGCTGGTGTCAAGCATGGATGCACCTCGTTGTGGGTGGGCGTGTGAGGTCAAAAACTGTACACAAAGTGTACGTTTCTCTGTCACAGCTGAGGTCATGTCACTTTGTTAACTACCTTGATTTTGCATATATTTAGTTTTTCTTAAATTACAAATGTCCGCACGGTAATCTAGCTGAATGAAGACAATATGTCTAAATCTGTAGTAGAATAAAAGGAGGGGATTTTCATGACAGCTGTTGTAGCAGGAAACCTAGCCATATGAACTTTTATATAATATCTGCTTACTGAATCACTTCTGCTCTCCATATTCATGGTGAAGGAATCCTTTCCTTATGTTGCACACAGACCAACTATAAACCTCCATCAGGAACAGGACTACATGTACTTTTCCATCACCTTGAGGTTTGTCTGATTGGACTTTGGATTTTAGCTATTGAAACATTTTTGTTACCTCGGCGTAAAATATCCAAAGAGAGACAGTGAATGTTGGGAAGAGAGAGAGGGAGGTGACATGCAGCAAAGGGCCGAGATCGGATTCGAACCCACGGGTTCTGTTAAGCCTCCGTACATGGGGCATGCCAAATAACCGGCTAGCTATCCGGCGCCACTACCTCAGCTTTTAAACTGATGCTTATGTCACTAAAGACATTTATATATTTGAAAAAGTTGAATGTTAAAAATATTACTAAAAGGAAACTGAGCATAAAAAAATACATATATTGCATTTTCACCTGAGACAATTAACAATGGCCGATTTAGTTCCCCTTTTCTCCAGCTTAGTTACAAAATAAAGAAATCTCTTCAAAACAAGTATGAATAAAGAAGAATTGATACAGCAACAAATAACTTTAATTTACATGTTCTGACAGAAACAATCCCGTACCTAAAATATGAGAGCAGGGAGACATCAGTTCAACTTAAGGTTGTTTGTACTTATGTGTAGGTTAATATGTTTGTTCGTTATAAAAGACTGTGTCAAAGAAATAAAGACTGAACCAGTAAGAAAGAAAGAAAGAACCAGAAAGAAAGAAAGAAAGAAAGGGTACTTTCATCCATATGTTCAGATGTCTGATAAGGTTCATGGCAGACTTCACCTCCTCCTGCCCTTCTCTCTCATCCTCATCCAACTAATCATAAGACTGGACCCCTTTGATCCCACTGGCAGCCTGATACACTCTGTGTGTGTGTGTATTAGTGTTCACTCATGTGAGTGTATACACCTGGATATATGGTCAGTGTTTGTTCACACAAAACCAGCAGGAACAATGTGCACAGTATTCTACTGTAACAACATGTGTCTGCCCAGGTCTGTGTGTTGGTGTGGGTGTGCATGTGTGTGTGGCAACGGCCACCTGCTGAGTCCAGCAGTCTATCCACTCATGTTCCACTGCAGCCAACTCACATCAATAATATTGGCTGAACTTTCTGCTTGCCTAACCACACCTCATTAAAGGTTAGCTATAAATGTGTGTATTTGTGACAGTTTTACAAGTAAAACAGAAGTATTTTATTCCTCCATTCTTTTTCTTGGGCCGAGTTTAGATTTGCCTTCAAACACAAGTCACACTTATTCATACTGTGTTTCCTGCCTCCTGATAATTTTGATAAGTTAATTGGAAAAACAGTTTTGTGGTTATGTATTTATACATCTGATTAGATAAGTTCTTAATTGTCTCTTCTTTTATCATACTGGTATAACTGTTGTTTCCCTTTCGTCCTTTCAGAGCGCCTGTCAGCAGGAGCTGGACGAAGTCTTAGAGGAGATCTCCAAAATGACCTCAGAGGATAACAGAGGCCCGCTGGAGAACCTGTACGAGCTCAAATTTCCAAACTGTGACAAACATGGACTGTACAACCTCAAACAGGTGAGCCACGGATACTGGACTTATTCATTTTACCTTTCTACCATGAACACTTCGTGATGCTGTTGGGTCCGTTCTCGATCTCTAATCATTCAAATATGGCTGCTCGATCAGTGGTCCATCTCAGTAAAACATGACAATGAAGGTTTCCCAATGGGGACATTCCTGGATGCAATGCTGCTATTGTTATTTTTAAGTAGCATTGAACTCAGGAACTGTACAAAGGAGTGTTAGCTCCACACTAAAGGGGGAAAAGTCATAGATTTACATAACAAGCTAATCTTGTCAGGTTTCCTGACCTGTTCTCACTTTCGGCTCAGTGGGTCATGGTTCCACCTAAATGGCCAAAAGCGGCTGGTGTTCAACACAGCACATCTTGGTATACCTTGTGGAGAAACCCATCGTCTATACTAAAGAAGAACTAAAGGCATCCAAACCTTTTGACGCATACAATTATGTACTCAGCGGTTATGTCTTTGGAAGATTTGTCAGATAGTTTTTTGTGTATTAATGAGACACATGCTGCCTAGCCAGCAGCAAGGACATCCAACGCAGCTACACAAGAAACGTTCTATCATTAACAAGTCAAACAACTACATACTTACAGTCAACTGCATGCCCAGACTAGTATTAACTCTTTGTTAATTATTGAATCAATTGTTTAATGTATGTAAAGAAATATCCTCAAAGGTACAGCTTCTCTGTGCTACTCTCCACTTGCTTTTGTTGTGTTTACTGTCACCAAAATGCGCACGCAACTGCTGTGATGTATATCGTAACGTCGACTCCAAATGGGTCCATACAGTGGGCGTGTGTTATGTAACCTAAGTACATAAAAATTAAGCTAAATCTTTTGCCTAAACCTAATCAAGTACATGTGGGCCTTAAACTAATCAAACTGAGACCGCTTCTTGACGTAAACCACCTGTTAATGATTGGTGTTTGTAACGCTTTCCAACAAGTTTCAATGGCTCAAATGCACAACTGTTACTGGCATGCTTTATTATCAATCTTACCACATGATTCTTGTTTTATATCAGGAGCTTGATTGAAACAATTTCATTAGAAAAGTAAATACAAGTAGGGGCAAAGTGTAAAGGCACCAAATATAAAGAAATTACAGACAATTTACAAACTTTTGGAGGGATGACTTACAAGAGGAGAGGTTAAAATACATATGGAGACCACCAGGAGAAAATGTCTTGAGGAAATAAATCCACAAGAATTCATGTTGAAGAAGCCAGTTTGCACAGTTGTAACCAACCAACCCTCTTTATGATAATCAGTGTTAATGCTCTGAGATTATGTTGTGCAATCTTACAATAAACACCAAACAAGACAGGTCCACATGATGACATCATGCCTTTAGCAATTTGTATGATGAAAAGTTGCATGAAAGCTTTCCAAATAACTCCAGTGGCCTCATTTATCAACAGTGTGTAGAAAGTGTTCTAAATTCTGTCTTTCGAATGAAATTTAGAATGTTTCTAAGTACAAAAAAATCCGTATTTATCAAACATGCGGACGGCGATCGTACAAACATCGGTAGGTAATCAGCGTTGATAAATCCCACATGTTCTTAACCAGCAGGCTCATGCATGTTCGGGGACATTTACATTCAGAAACGCCTCCACTAATCCATTTATGCTAACAACACACCTCTTTATAAACCTGAACATATTTACCTCGGCGGAATAATGCGAGAGCAAAGAAAAGAAGCTTTATAACAGAAATGGAAGTGGATGAGGTTGAATAAAAAATGGTAATAAATAAATAAAATAAGGTTAGTAACTATCGCGCTAAGTGACCCAATTAATGATTAGTCTTTTCACTTAGTCGAAGTTACTAACAAAAGAACAAATGCTGCATGAGACAAGGTGACAGGTCAGAGGAGAAAATACTTAAGATGAAGTTTGAGATTAAGCTCAGTGCAAAAAAATAAAACGCATCGCGGCACAAAAGCGAGAAGCATTTGCAGCTGAAGGATAACAGAATACTCCACAATTTCACCCAAGAATGGTGCAGTTACAGCGTCATCGGGGGCACAGCTCTCTCTGGGGAAAAATCAAACAGTGACGCTCTCACAAGAGGACAGGCTGGACCAAACAGATCAGTGCGCTCTTTTGAAAAGCCCTTACTGCGGAGCGCACGGTTCTCCAAATCATCTAATAAGGCAAAACAAGCCATAATGTAACATTTCTCCTCGTTTGAATTTCCCTCGGGATCAATAAAGTATCTATCTATCTATCTATCTATCTATCTATTTCAAACGCCTGCCACGTCGGCCTTTTTAAGGTTTTGGAACAAATTAAGTCAACACATCTGTTTCAAACTAGACAAAATCACTTATTTGGGGTTTTTAATTAAAGAAAACTCGGAACATGCATATATGTTGAGATTGATTCTGGCGTGCCGTGACACTCGTAGTTCTTTCAATGTTCTACCTCTAGATTCTGTGCGTAAGTATGCTCAGAGCTGTGCTTATATTTTCACACATTTCTCAGTAAAAGTTGATGAATCCCACTCTTTGCGAGGGAATGTTCTTATGCACACATTACGCACTGTTGATCAATGAGCCCCAGGGGTCCTAACAGCTCCTCACTGATGTTTATGATCCTGTCCTGGGCCCCTGTCTTAAAGAGTCCCTGTGTTTAAATCTGTGTTTTTTTTTCGTCGGAGGAGCCCATGTCTAAAGATCCTGAGTAGCTCATGTGTGCCCCAGGCGCTTCCTTTGTTTAATCCTGACAGTTTTTATGTTTAAATCAATGTCTGTTTATGATTTATTATTCTTTATAAATCATGGTGAGAATGTGGCCAACATAACAATAAGATCCATAGTGCTTTGTGTAAAAAGGGGAGGGTTTTCTTTAAGCACTGCTCCTGCTATATATTTTGTTTTGAAACAACTGGATACCATTTTAGAAAAAAGAACACTGGTCTTTTCTGTGGTCTTGTGTTTTGAGGATCTGTCCAAAATATAGGTTCAAGTTTGAGATGCAATAAAGAAAAGGGGCCATTGTGGGTGGATTAGTAGGGCCTGACCTATACGAGATTTTTGGGGCCGATACCAATATCGATGTTGGGGAGAGAAAAAAAATTACACCGTGGAGAGTGATGATCCATGTTTTAATCCATATAGCGCCCTCTGCTGGTGAAAGAGAACTGCAAGTGTAATACAATGACACTTGAACGAAATGCTATTTGACTGGTGACTAAATCTAGTATTATCGACGTATATCTGCGATTTAAAGTCACTGGATATGCAGATATTATTGGCTAGCTGATAAATCAGTCGAGCTCTAGAAAATTTAAGAATTTGTCAACTTTCGCTTGCCATTACCCATAACAGATTAGCTTGGATTAGGTTGGCTTTTGATAATGTATTGTGTGCCACTGAAAATAATACATTGCTGTTTATTTATAAGTGGTCTCTATGGCAAAACCAGTGATATCAACCTTAATCAGTGATATCAGTAATGTCTGCTGTCAGTGGCAGAACACCCACTGTGACATCACTCATTAGGGTTATAGCCAACGTTTGGACATATAAGATGATCCAACCATAAAGAGTAATTCAGTGGTAGTTTTTTTATGTTTAGAATAGAAGAGAGACACTGACCACATGACCAGAAATTTAAAATAAATACAATTTGAAAGAAGCCTAATCTAAAAGCTGACGCTATAAAATGATGGAACATGTCACAGTTTTGTCATTTAACTACCTGTGTGTGAAGGTACATTTTTAATGTTGGGAATAAGGGTTTTATTTAAAACAACAACAACAACACAATAACATGTCCTTTGCACTGACATGTCGGCACTCAAACATGTGAAAGAGTACTCTGGAGTGTTTACACAGATAAGACAACTTGGGTGCATGTCAGAATCTTCTTAAAGGCTGTGTAAGTGGGTTTTAAGAACAAATTTCATTATTTGGTGAATGACACCAATTGAGTACCTATTTCACACAGAACTGAAACACTGTTAGCCCTAACCCTGAATGAAGTTTCTGCTTGATTGGCCAATCAAATGCCTCCAAACACCATCCAAACTGTTCTTTCTTCAGACGACCTTAGACCTTAGAGAAAAGATTCCAGAAATGATACAAGAGGGACACCATATTTTTAATCATCGGGCAACTGACGTAAATCATGTGTTTGACGAGCTGTGAGTGAGAACAGGGTGAATTTGTCTTTCACACACGCTCATGCATAGTGTATCATTTTGTTCAATTCCCCTTGGATTTCCCCTCTCTTCTCTTTCACACAAACATGCACACACACACACACACACACACACACACACACACAAATCTGTTGTATCAGCCTGGCAAAATCACCCTGAAAAAAATATATAACCTCCCCCTCACTCCCACCTGCCACCCTTTCCACAAAACTACCCCTCCTCCTTTTTATAAACTTGCACACACCCTCCTTTCCCTTAACACTTTGCCTTAGACACACATACACACACACACAAACACACACACACAGTCAAGCACACGAGAACACACAAATGTGTGGGGAGATGTTGTCATCATGAATGAGGCAACAGCTTCTGAGCTCAAGGTTACAAGGCAATAAAACTGTTTGGCGTACTTCATGGGAAGACTTTTGTTAAGCCGAGGAACGAACCGTGGTTCCGACCGGGGGCTTGAATTTGAATCTCTGCTCATCCAAAGAAATCAGAAAGAGGAGGACAAACAAGGTCACATATCCAATGTTTTCTTACGAGGATAGTAGAGCAGAAAAGAAGATTTGAATAGGCGCCACGGTTTCCTAAAGCAGGGCTCTCAACCACTCAGCCAATTTTCATCACTGGTCACAAACAACAGCATTGTTTCGGACTGGAGTCCTCAGTTCCCAGGGAGGAACACTGTACCTCCTCAACACTCGGCTCCCTTTTAGAGTTGTCCCTCCTTGTCGCGGGGTAATTACTGTAACTGTCACTTTTTTTGTTCTTTCTCATCGAAGGAAGAAAATGGAAAGTCTTTTCTTTCCCCCCAGCTCTTCATTCTTTTCGCTGTCCCCACCGCTGCTGCCCCGCGTGCGCGGCGTAAACTGTGTCCACTTCAATTACGACCTCATTTCTGAGTAGAGGGGGGCTCTGCGGGGGGGCTGGTCTGCTGGCATGCCTCTGTTTGTGTATGTGTGTGTGAGTGTCTGTGATGGCATGTGTGCTTGTGGGTTGTGAGTTGGGGGCATGACCTGAGGATTGGCTGTTATTGGGTGAGTGTTGTCCCACCCAAACCATGGCCCACACTCTCATCCAATGGCCCCCCGCCACCAGAAGATCCAAAAGTACAAACACACACACAGCTCAAGCTGTACGCCATGCTTCATTAATGCCCCCCCTCCCCCTCCCCCTCCCCCCATTTCCCACTGCATCTTTACCTCTCCGTCTTTTTCCAATGTTTTCCAACTTCTAGTTTGTGTTTTTCTTCCCTCTCCCTAGTGCAACATGTCCACCCATGGCCAGCGGGGCGAGTGCTGGTGTGTTAACCCCTTGACCGGGGTCCAGATTCCAGCAACGCCCAAAGTCAGAGGGGACCCCAACTGTAACCAGTTTCACGAGGAGCTCAGGGTGATGCCCACCACAGCAGCGTCAGAATAACACAGTCCAGCACATGTGACAGGATTGTGTTTCCCTCCAAACTCTGGGGAGGCTTTTCCCCTTTATATGTTTATTCTCGCAACATGAAAATAAGTCAGCGTTTTGTAAAGCATCATCTCTTTTGAATTTGCATGACTGTTAAGGTTAAAGCACAAACTAAAGTAACAAAAGAAAGATGTGGGCATTATTCACTTTTTCTTAGCTGTCAATAAATCCCATAAAAAGACAAAAAAAAAAGGGTAAAAGTATGTCTCTTAAGGCTTCCCTTTCTTTTCTCTGGGACTCATAACAAAGCTAATTTCTTCTTCCTAGGATGTAAATCTTAAAAAAATAGTCTTAACATATGTTGTTTTTTATTTGGCAAAATTGCAGTGTTGTTGTTTTTTAAGCTACAATGACCATGTTTGGACAAAAAGGTTGAGCTTTAAAGAAGTCAGGGGAAAGTAAAAGCTAAAGTATCCGCTAAAGCTAGCATTAGCTTAGTGAGGCGCAATCCTAATAAGTGTTTACCTTGATATAAATGGGATGCCAATCTTAGCTGGGAAAAAGAAACTATATATATATATATATATAGCCTATATATATATGTATTTTATAAGTTGGAAAATAAAAAGTGAACTCATTCAAATGTCTTTTCAATTACAACACACTGAAAAAAGCCCTTTTAGTTAGCTTTGCAAATTGTTATATACAAATCTACATATACTGTACTAGCCTTCCTGCTTTTTGGTTTATTGAGATTGAGCCCTGATGCTCTCAAGTAGTTCCATAAAATCTGATTATTTGGACCAGTTTAGTCTTCCTGTTCCCACCATCAGAAAGAATGCAGGTTAACGGGGAGTGTTGCTTTTACTTCACTTTTCGACCCTTTTTGCAAAAAAAAAAAGAAAAGAACAATGATTCAACAACATGGGTCATTTTTCTTACTTTACTCAAACACCCATCCCTGAGCATCACTGTGGGAAGAAATTGTACTAGTTTTTCTTGTTTTGTTACAGACACATAGGCTACTCAAGATTTAAATCCCCTTTTATTTTTATGGACTCTGTTGACAAAAATAAACAGTAAAACCTTGTGTCTCATTGAAAACCCACAATGATGGGACAAATTCAGCAAGATTAGCATTCCTTTATGTTTAGACCCCCTGACTAAAAAGTGCAAAATCCTAAATTCACTTGACTGTTTTGATCTCCACCAGCTCCTGTAAAAAAATAAAATCAAGGCCTTCAACTGTGTATTGAAGGTTTTTCACCTTTGAATGACAAACAGTGTTCAATACTCAGTGTTGAATCAAATCTGGATACTCATCCCAGATTTGGTTCTATAAATGCCAACATTAGGGTGGGGCAGAATCTCACTATGCTTAAGTCAGACAGGTCTCTAGTTGTTTTAAGCTGAGGTGTAAAACTCATAGGTGCTTCTTTATATCCTCTTTACATATCACATGTTTTTTCAGTCTAATTCCAATGTCAGTGTCATACACATTGTGTCACCTTGTTTTTATAAGTCAAACATGACAAGCAGGTAATTAGAAGTTTAATCACTGTCATACTTTTGGTTGATTAGATCTTGTAGAATTCCTTGTTGCTGCATCAACTCTGCTTCCTACATTGTGAATTAATTAAATTATCTTTTGCTCTGACATTCACTGTAACAGGCTCTGGTGTTGTTTGCTGTTTTCTTTTTTGATTGACATTTTTATGACATGTCACAGTAAAAGCAAATCGTCAATTTAGCTTCAATCAGCTCCGTCAGCGCTGTTGGCTGTTGTTGTTGTTTGTCAGCAGTTTTCCCATCAGCGCTTGTCAGCTCCAAATCAGTGTCGCCAAAGAAAAATGGCACTTACGGTAACAATGGTAGAAACTGCTGCGTGGATGACTTTTCCTATTACTGCTGTGTTTGCAGACATGCATGTGTATGCGTGAGAGTGGATGTGTGTGTTTGCGTGTTTGTGAGCGTATTGCTGGGGTAACTAATGAAGTGTTGACATAAGGAGGGATCGGTTGGGGGGCTGACTTTGACAAATGTGATACTAAGTGGGTAAATGTGTCTATGAATAAACCTTACCAAGTAAGCAAATGCACGCAATTGCACAGACACACCCACAAACACGTAATTGCATGCAGGTCGTGGTTTTTAAAGCGGTACCCCCACAGATGGATCTAGGTGTATTATTCATGACGATGAATTTCCACAATAAAATGCATATTGGAAGTATTGTGGCAATGTGTTCAAGTTTGTGCTTTTATTAGCTTCGTTGGAGCAATTCTTTCATTCCTGGGCTGTAAGCAATTCACTGTTATTGTCCCTTAGACAGGCGAGCCCATCAAAAAGAGTTATGGATGACATGGAATGTTTTTGTCATATTTGAAAAATGTATCTGTAATCCATTGCAGCCACTGTAAAAAAAAAAAACCACACACACAGTGAGTTCATCATGATCAGATGCAGCCTAAACAAAGTTGTGTTGTATATCTTTATTCCTGCTTCAGTTATTCAAATACTTTGAATGGCTCACATGTGACTGAGAAAAAATAAGTTTTGTAACCTGCTGGCAGGTCCCTCAGGTTCTTGATAAGTTCTCAGAAAATCCAAGCGATTTGAATTGATTCTGGGAATTTCTTTGCATCATGATCCTTCTCTAACCCTCAAAGGGATTTTGACACGGTGCTTAGCTCGAGAAATAAGCTTTCATGGATATATTTTTTAATACTGGTTCTTGCATAAGTAGAGAAAGATCCCAAAAGGTGCACATTAGCATATGAAAGAAATACACAGGCATGAAAAAAAAAACATCTGTCAAACTGAGCAACAAAGGTTAAAAGGTCGGATTTTTCTCAAAATGAATTAAGATGCTGTACTCTCATGTGATATGTTTGTCTAAATAAGTATTGTTACCTCCTGTCTTTCTGCCTTTCTTGCAAAGCTAAAACAATTGGTTTCATGAAAACATTTTCAGAAATTCAAACTTAACTTAATTCAATTAATGTGGATGCTGATTGTTCTTAATGTACGGTCTTTTTAGAGCTATAGCCGCTCTGTGTTTCCATGGACTTCCTCAACAACTTTTTGTAGATTGATGATATTATTTCAAAGTTTTAGCTGCAAAGAGGAGCACAAAAGAAGCCTACATACCTGATGTTTGGACACACATGTTGCACATAATTGGATTCATCACACTGCTGAATTTGGGATGGATTGTTTCTCACAGGGAAAAACAAACCGTTCTTTAAACGTACATGTGGCATGTGAGCATCGTCAGACTTTAAATTAAAAAGTCAGATCATTCACTTAAACACTCCCAGTCAATAAAGTAAACAGTGTGTCTGCTAGATTTTTCCACTAACTAATAAAGACTTCTGATTCTTCAGGCGGCACATGTCATGTTGTTTTTTAATGTTATAAAGCCTGAGTATGTTAAATTCATGGCTGAAATTGCAAACACTCGCAAAAGTCACCATTCATTTGCAATCAAAATGATTCAAGACGAGGGTGTAAAGAAACACCTCTTTGAAGTTCTGGCCAGACGTGTATCATATGAGACCACTCCTGACTGACTTTGGCCTTGCAACATTATACATGTGCCAGTGAGCTGAGCACCAACCACAGCTCTCCAGCTTTATTCACTTTTTTGTGACACTCTGTTTTCTCTTTTAAACTCTTCTTATTTTGTCGTATTAATGCTGGGTTCTTGGCAGGGAGGTTACTTTTAAAAAATTTGACAGCTTGGCTTGGTGTCACACATGGATCTCAGGCGTCCCTGGGCACTTTTAATGCGAGTTTGATGCTGGCCTTTTCTGAAAACAAATCAAAACAAGTGTCTTTTGTTTTGGGTTTGATAGATCAGGCACAATGGGCTGAGGAGGGTAGTTTCGCAGTGGGAATAAGAGTGGGGGTGAGTATGTGTGTGTTTGCGTGATTGTGCCTCTTTGTGTGTGTATGTGCAAAAGCACATGTGCGTGTGCTGGCCTAAAGAGCCCAAGATCTGCCCTACTTTCAGGCAAGTATTTCTTTTGTTAGCATTCAACAACTTCCCTTGATATGTTGATGGTGGGTCTAAGACTCGCGGAAGCTGCACTGTGTTGAATGTTAACAAAATAATTGTTGTTTTATCTTTGTTCAAATGACAAGGTGCTCCAGTGTTAACAGGAAGTACACCAGCAGAGACATTTAGCTTTGAATACGGACAAAGGAGCATAATATTACGTTTCAGCATAGGAAGACTGATAAACAGAAAGTTCATGCAAAACATATTGTGTAACTCACTGGTTCCCAAACGTCATCTGCCGCGCCTCCTCTTGGCAGATTAAGTTTTTTTTCAAAGCCCCCCCCCCCCACACACACACACACCTCATACCCTAAACCCCTCACCATACACATCAACAAAGAAATACATATTGATGTATACGTACAAATCATCAGACGCACTCTTTGCTTACAAATTCTCATGATTTTAGAATTTATCTGAAAAATTGTCTGCAAAAAGTTAAAAAATAGCAATTTAAAATGACAACAGAAAAGGCTGACGACCACTTTTAAAGAGGAAGCATTTAAAAGTGGAACTGTAACAAAACTTCCACAGTCAGATTGTTTTCAGACCTGAATTTCTGAAGATGAACAACACCCTAAAAGTAGTGAAAAGCAGAAAATCTTCCCTCAGATTCACATTTTCAGTCCTGCAATAATTCCAATGACTCGTGTGGGCTTGTTTTGTGCTGCAAATCTTGGGGGCAGCTCTGAGACAATCACCCTTTTTTCATTTTCAAGTCCAGCTTTGAACTGTATTTTGTGTTGATTAAGACAACTGCTCACACAGTTGGCATGTAGCAAAAGAAAGGAGGGGGAACTATCCTTACCTTTACCTGGAAGTCCTCCCACAGTCACTCATCACCTCTTTGCTGGCAGTGCAAAACGGGCCTCCTCGGGGCCATGCATGGACCCCACTATGTCAGTCACTGGTGGAACTGGGGTTTGTGGAACACAAGGTAAGGCAAGACTTC